GCTACGCTATTGGTGGGAGTATGGTGACGAGAAAATAGGAATAAAATAGTTGAAAAGCGCTCGTTGATACCGTGGGGATTAAGAGTGCCGATTTCGATTTGTTTTTGTTCTAGTGTTCTGTGGCTTTCCGAACTGCCTAGATGTAAGGAAAGGCCGCAAACTGCCATAGGGTTTTTTTGAACGATTAGGGAGATTAAAGTGTCTAGCGACTGGTTTGGATGCGTCCTTGTCATTTCTTTCCACGTCGCGAAGGTGTTCTCGGAATCGGTCACCTAGTCGTCGTCCTGTTTCGCCAATGTATAACTTATTGCAATAAGTGCAAGTTATGTAGTAAATGACATTGGCGGAGGTACACGTAAAGTGATCAGTGATCTTAATGGATCTCTTGCGTCCCGATATTTTCTCTACATTATGAATGAAAGGACAGGTTTTGCATCGTGAGCGAGCGCATAATTCCGCACACTTCAAAGCTGCCACTCTTGCCATCCAAACATAGCTGAAAGTTATCCAGAGTTAAACATACAAAAGTTTTCTTTAGGAAATCGTCTCCAAACTGACTCGCACCTCAATTATCTTTAGAAATCACGTGGAAGAGCGAGTCTCCCCTACGTCAAGTGTACTTTCAGTGGAGATAACCGAAAGAGAGTTAATTCTACATTGTTTTCAGTTTGAACCACAAAGCTGCCAAAAAGTCACAACCGAGCCATGTCGACCGCTGGTTAGTTCACGGCGGTGTTAATGAACGGTCAGCGGTACTTGCTTGCCCTAAGCAATAGTTAACGAGCGTAACTCTAAGAGGAGCTTATTCGAGTAATAATACTTTGATCAACACTGAAACTATGGGTGAAAAAAAGCTAGGGTACATTCCAAACTATGCCAGATTCATCATGGGTGGATCAGCCGGGTGAGTATTGATTGGTGTTCATTTCAATGAGGTGAATACCCACAAGATCACGACTAACTTGGAATCGCGCGCCAGTCATAATGAATATTTAGTAAATGTACGTGGCACTCTCTTTTGTTTGGTATCAATATCAAAGTTTTCATGGTTTACCATGCAACGCATCTTGCATGTGTAAATTTGAGGTTCTGACGGAGAGATCAACAACCACTGTTTGATGTTATTCCGAAATTGTCAGACATTTGCTAGTTGTTTCACGTGATAATCTTGGGATAAATTAATAGCAATCTCAGTGGTTACATTTGCGCATCGCTACCCTTCGCTGCGCTAGGTTTTGTTTCTTGCTGACTCAGTGTTGTTTAGAAGCTATCCAATACAGGATTCTGAACTTGCTGCTACGTTTTGCTGTATGTATGTGAGACCTTAAATTGACGTGCAAATTATGGACACTGCTTATGAGGGTCTCCAATAGGTTTTTCGGGATCCGGGATTGGGCTCATTTAAAGGCGGGATCCGGGAATTTAAACTAAGAAGGGAGCGAGATGTGGGATTGCTATTATGAATGAGACATGGGAATCGGCGATTTTGAGGAGTGGGATTTGGGAAATAATCGCTTAAATGAACCAAGAACTGGGATGTCTGTTGACAAAAATTTATGAAGAAATTTATCTTCTCAGTCACAAAAAGCACCAGGCATACAGGTTCTCTAGCATTCAAGAGCCGGTTGGGCTGTTTAGTGACATTTTTCAGTTATTGTGCAGGAATGAAAATTATATCAGATGTGAAGTTTGCCACTCCATCCTTGGAAAGAGAGGCTGATTTTTACCTCAGAAGAGGTTCCCACTTTGGAAGAAGTATCCGATTCAACAGCAGAATTTCTTTATCTCCATTGCTGTGACCTTTTGTGTTTTATGCACTAGTTGAAATTGTTATTCATTTCTTTGATAATGACCTGTCTGTACTTATACATTTGTCTGTGATTTAAGTTTAATGAAAGGAAGTCAATACTGTGACTAGCACTTGTTATGCATGCAAAACTTTTAAAACTTCTAAATTAAACAATATTATCATTTTGGTGAAAAGAGATAAACTCACGCTTTACAGTGACTATGGACTTCAATGGATCAATGCTGGTTAAGAAAATCATCACCCACCAGAAATACCCTTCTAAGTTTAGGAAATGGGCTAAGACAAAATTGTATGATTGGGATCAGGATTGGCAGGTATAAACCATTGGGATTACAGGATTGAAAGAAAATTTTAGTCAGGATAATGGGATTGAAGAACCCTATTGGGAACCCTCCTTGATCAATGGAATTATACTAGATTTTGATGCTCGCTGGATATGAACAATCCGACATGAATAGATTTCTCTAAAATGCCCTGTATTTATTTTCACTGAACAAAGACCGGCTTGATATATTACAACTTTAATGCCAATCAACTTTAAAATAGCCCTCAAGCAGACTTTGCAGTGAAATAAGCTATTACTAGGTCCATGTATGACCTATTGAGTCCAAGTATAAATAAACACAATATAAGAAATATGTAAACAAACAAGATAGAAAATCGCATGCGGAGAATTTCCATTTGAGGTAGATAGATGGTGCTATGGCTTGTGCTATGACGCCAAAAAAAGTTGTGAACGGAATATGCAAAAGTTGCAGCATTTGCAAATTTTCATTGTTAAATATGGAAGTGGAAGATCTGGCTTTGTATCTCTGGAAAATTTATGTGTCATGTCAATTTGTAATGGGAGCCATGGATGATCTTTGTGTTATAAGGATATAGAACACAGGATCAATCTTATCTCAGTCCAACCTAAGAAATTTTCTCTCTTGATCTTCAATGATATTGGGTAGCAGGCAAATTACTAATATCAAGGTATTTTAGTGATTGTGCTCACAGATACCTTTGTAGTTACTGCAGTTTCACTAGTTGAAATCTGAAATGTTTACCATGTGCAGTTTGCATAACTGCAAAGAACATTCCATTAATTTAAAAGGCACTTCACTAGTTTATCTGATTGGTGTATAAGATCACCTACCGATTTTGCTTCTATTTATAGTGATCAAAAAGCTTCCACCACCTAATCAACATTTGGATGTAGGGAATTCATGTTTGAACTTTAAGCCTAAAATGTTAAACATTCCAGTAGGCTGTGTGCAGAGGCTCGACTGATGTCATCTGTTGAAAGTGGACAGAGGGCTCACTTTTGACTATAAATTTGTGATTAAATTCCATGGAGCATGTCTGTGTTCTTGTATACATCCTGGCAGCACTCCAGCAATGAAGGAGATTATAAGAGCTTGTTCCTTTTGTAGTGGGGAGAACTCTCAACTCATGCTATTTTTTCATTTAGTTTTTCCAATTTTGTTGCTGGGTTTTGGTTGTGAGTTAAAAGGTCAGCTTATGTATAGAAAACCCAAGAGGCTTTTAATTAGCCTTCTCATTTTAAGAAGTGGAATGGTATTATGGTATTGCCTCTGATAGTGAGACCTGTGATACCCATTGTTTCCATAAACACAGCCCCAGTGGATATGATAGGCAATCATGATTTCCAGTGACATACAGATCAATTTATATTTGATTTGAAGACGGTAACAAGTAAGTTATTTACAAGACATTGATAGTTTTGATATCATGTATAAACTTTATCAAGGTATTCAGTGGTCTTGAGGTTGAGTAGAAAATAAAAGCACTAAGGTTGATGGAATTGCAGACGTGCAACTGTAAGAGAAAACCACATCTGACCTCTATGCTGAGCAACCTGGCTATTGCAAATAATCAACCTCTAAGCCTCATTTGCACCAAATTTTTCTCAAATCTTTGCCACCCTATTGTTGTTTCATAGGGTATTCTTTTGATCTTAATGCTAAAATTCATCAGTCTGCATCTTGGAAGGGAACCTAGGGTTGAGAATTGGACATACTGATTTTTATCAAGCATGGGACTTATCAAATTTCGTTGTAATCATTGTGTTTCCTTAATGTGATCCTTTGATTGTGTTTAAGTAACCCCAGTTAGGTGCACTGTAGAGGCTGTCAGTATGCAACCATAGTGCGTCCTTATTGAGCACTACTTGTATCCAAGAGGATAACTGCTGCCTCCTGAGGTGCTCTTATTGTAGCTTAGGGGATCATTTCTTATCTCCCTTACTGTTCAAGATTTATTATTTTTGATAAAATGTCATGTTTTCACTTCTATAAGTCAACTTGAAAAGTGTTGAACCTACTAGCTTTTCTGTTTCCAATAATTGTCATGATGTGTTTGAACTCTTAAAAGATACAGATTAGGTATTTTGTTATTTATTTGAACTACTGCTTCTGGGGACCAACAAAAATATTATAAAGCTCAGAAAAAGTGGTCTCTACAGCCACTTGGTTTGCTCCATTGGGAGAGCACTTGACTGCTCTATGGGAGGTTAAGAGTTCCAGCCTCAGAATGACTGCATCAGCAAATAGGATCTTAAAATAAAGGAGAATGTGCAGTCTTAGCATGTCCTCAGTAGATATTTGGACATCCTAGACTCTTGAATGAGAACTGTAAAGGGTAGGCCCTTTTTCTTGTATCTTCAAATTCAATCAGTTAATTAGCTGGAGTGATTAAAGAACCCAAGCAGATGTGCTATTTCTAAAGATTAGTGATTGAAATTATGCCTGTGGTAACCGGGTAGTCAGTCTGTGTTGCAGCAGGTCCAAATTAGATTATCACTGCCAAATTACAACCTGCTTAATCAACCAGACAAAGTGAATGAACAAGTGAACAGTTAAACAGAAATCAAATATACAAAACTATCATAATTATTATTGTTGTTATTATTTACTAGAATGGGTGCAACTGTGTTTGTACAGCCCCTAGATTTGGTCAAAAACAGGATGCAGATGAGTGGTGAGCATTTATTTGTTATTTTTAAATTTCAAATTCCAGGTATTGTATTTCTGTTGTTCTGATTGGTTCACTCTACACTGCTTAAAAGCTCTTATACAGAATTGCCTTATTTAGAAAATGTTTTATTCAAGTGTTGCTAAGCTGGATTAACTTTTGGCTGGAAACAAACACTTCTCCTGTACATTGTGGATAATTTAATGTAATAAAACAGTTATTCCATATGCATTTGTTGGATACAAGATTGATTGGCTGTGGCCAACAGGGTGCCATATCTAACGCATGCACATGGAATAACTGTTAAATGACAATCTGAATCAGTTACATTAAATTTAACTTAATGTTATCCCACGCAATGTCATCTGATATTTCCTGTTGTTTCTTATTCATCAGGACTTAAGTTTACCCTGGATTAAAACAACTGACTGTTTGAATGTTAATTCCTTTTAGTTTTATGTTTATGTTGGATTAATGTAGCTGTTAGCAAGCTAATTGGATGAACAATGATTTTTGTTAAGTGTTATCCAAGGTTTTCATGCACAGATAATTTCACCATTGAACAATTACAAAGTTGGACTTTGAGAGGTTAATATTGATGCAAAATACTCCCACATACAGGAAGCTGTTGTCTATAAATATTTCAATTGCCTGAAGACTTTTCAACATTACATGTGTCTCAATATTATTCATTTAGGGGTTGGTGGTGCTGCAAAAGCACACAAAAGTAGTCTACATGCAATTGCCTCCATTCTGAGACAAGAAGGAGTTTTTGGTGTCTATAATGGGTTAGTTTGTTGAATAATGCAAACATGTAATTGAGCACTTATGGTCTTTTTTGTAATTATTGTATTTGCTGTGTTCGATAACTTAGCTATCTCTCTGTGACATAATGACTTACAGGGCTTGAATGAGTTAACATTTCTTTGTACAGATTATCTGCTGGTCTGTTAAGGCAAGCAACTTACACAACAACACGACTGGGTGTGTTTACTTCGCTCATGGAAAAATTTAAGAGGTTGGTGATAGAAATTACCATTTTTAGAGCAGGGTCAGAACTATCTGAAATATTACCGTAAAGGGTCCCTTGATCTACATATACCCTGACAAGGGTTTCAATAAGTTTTGATGTAGATGGTAAAGACTACAAAGTAATCAGCTAATGGAAGAGTGATCTGTTCTCTAATGGTGATGATTTCATGGAAAATAGGCAGCGATTTTGCTTAAGACTGATGGCAAATTTTGCAGATCACTGGCTCTTCTTGAAACCCCTGTATGAAAGGCCTGTCACAATGCTACATTTTACACTGATTATTGTACATCTATGCCTGACTTGCCATTGAAATATTTTCTACTTCAATTGTAACATCTTTGTTTAAAGAGCTTGAAATGATGAAAAGATATTGTGGCTCTCTGAAATTCTGACTTTAGTTTTAACATAAAACACTTTTCTAATTATTATGCCTTGACAATTCCTTTTTTAAACTATCAGCTGTTATCAGGTAATGTTTTAGGTAAGATGTATTGGGTGAGCTGGATGGAGAGAGAAAGCCACATTATTTACTTACAAGTCTTATTTGGCATTCTGTATATGACACAATATTCTTTGCAAGCCTTTTCAAATTATTTGCCAATCTGCCTTATTTAGTAGTTTGTGGATAGGATCCGCGTAGAAAAACACATATCATCCATAAAGAACTGAGTCTGGCTCTCTAATTTCATGCCACAAAGCATCTAAGGTTATTAACCATTTACTACTGACCGTGCTTCATAAGCCAATGTGCCAACTGTCTTAAACTAATCTTTCTGCATTGACCAAATCCAATTTGAAATAACTGACAAACTTGCTCAACAGCCAAATAAATGGAAACATGCTCTGTGTTGAGGAGCTGGTAGACCAGATGAAATTAGGAGAACTGCATCTCAATCCACTGGTCATGAAGTAAAGAGGGGTGGGGAGAGTGCATTGAGGTGAATTGGTTAGTGAACATTGTGAAATTGTTTTTGAGCCTCTTCAAATGGACCTGCTAGGTGGATTTTTAGGCCCAAGGATGGGGACCCTCAACTCTCCTCCCTAATTGTTTGCTTTCCTAGCTTAATTATTAACAGGAAATTAATTTTAAAAAGTTTGCATCTTATATTGTGCAAATAAACTACATGTAGTTAACGGTTTGGAATAGTATCTAGATAAACACTTATATTAACTTATGTATAAGATTTTTAGCTGTCATGTTTTATCTTTATAATCACTTCAGTTGTGATTGTTATGTTTTTTGTTTAGCCCTGATGGAACTCCACCTTCTTTTCTCATGAAATGTGCTCTAGGTTAGTGTTTCTACCTAATTGTTATTAACAATAGTAGCACAAGTGATAGGCTACTACAGTTTTGTTTTGATCAAATTTGATGGATTCTGCCCTGTTAGCCTGTTTAAAGTGTAAAAATGTGGAAATGTTTTTGACAACATATATGCAACAAGGGTAAAAGTGGCACAAGTTTCTTAAATTGGTCAAGTGATTGGAAGTTGTAAAAGTAGAGAACAGTTAACTGTTTTTCACTACTGATGCATAATTGCAGTTGTAGGGTTGACCACAATTATCAGTTACTGATGTAGGGAAGACTCGTGCAGTCTCACTTTCAAGAAGACATTCTCTGTATAAAGAGTGTATTTATTACAATGCAACATTTCTAAACAACTTGAGCACCTTGAACCACTTTTCTTTGTACAAGTAAATGTTTGGAAATTGAAGGGTGATCATTGTTTTAATTCAGGAATGACAGCTGGAGCTGTAGGCTCATTTATTGGTACACCGGCAGAGATATCCCTCATAAGAATGACTTCAGATGGAAGGTTTGTTACAACATTATTTATATAGACGTAATATGTTGTAAGAAATCTAGATGCAGACAATACAATCAGTGGTATTGTAAGTGGAGTTTTCTTGGGGCAAGATAGCAATACCTGTAGATCTGTTCCTCCCATATAGCACAGCAGTTGGCATGTTTATTACTTCACATATAACAGTAAGAGTTGTATCCCACACCCAATAAGACCAGACTCTTTATTGTGCACTTAGGTCTGAGTATTACAATTGTATTAAGACATTATCCAACTCCAACTTGACAATCTTTCCTTTATCTTTCCCTGTCTGCTTGAAACCATGTTTTTGTAGTGAGAAACAGTAAGCTGTTAGCTCATTGGAGTCAGAGGGCTGTTAAACTACCTTTTTAAACTAAAGGTTACGTTTTCTTGTAGATTTTTGCAAGCTAAGGTGACATATTTACTGGTATTATCTTTCATTCAAATGAATTATGAAAGGTGATGTTTCTTTCACGAGCCCTTCGCTAGAGATGCGCTATTGGAAACAAGGAGGGGGCAGGTAGCACAGAACCCTTGAAATCACTGAAACCTCGTACATGTACGTTCACCTCCTCTCAAAAAAAAATCAACCAAAAAAATACAGACAGTTTGTTTGCCTTCCCCCCCCCCTCCCCTTCTTTTTGGAGCAAAGATGTTTTGCTGTGATCCAGCATTAATAAGCAATACACAAAAATAGATAATTTTTAAAAATACCCTACTTAGCAATTGCTCGTTAATAGGCATAACTGAACTAATTGTGTTGAACATAAATTCTTTGTTTTATTTAACAGGCTTCCTGTAGAACAACAGCGCAAATATACAAGTGTGTTCAATGCCTTGTACAGAATAACTAAGGAGGAAGGAATTCTGACTCTTTGGAGGGTAAGAATGATTCGATGAAAATAGTTTAAGATTCATTAACGCCGACAAGCCGTTTATGTATCCACTGATCCAACTGAGCACAGGGCTATAAAATGTTGAAAACTCTTTGGTGAACAAGGCTCTTTTGAAGATATCAGGCAGACAGGTCTCTAGGCGTCTCGGTGCTTTACTTTATTTTGAACTCTTTTGTAGGGATGTGGGCCAACTGTTTTTCGAGCTGTTGTAGTGAATGCAGCGCAGCTGGCGACATACTCTCAAGCAAAACAAGGCTTGCTCTCCACAGGTTTGTTGAATTACAGAAGCCTTTCATATCCTAATGTCTCCTTACTGTGGTCATGTCTTTAGCTCAAACGAATTTAAGACCCATGTTTTCCTTGCTTTACAGTGTCGTTAACAAGATCTTAAATGCATGAAAAGATCTTAGATGCATGACGAAATGTCTGATGGTTTATTTGGTGTGTAGAAGAAAAACGTCCGGGTCCACATGAGATGAGCACATGTAGGATTCTAGTTTACACTTCGCACGCTGCACCTCACGATTATTAAAGGATCATATTAGTTGTGCAATAATTGAAAACATTGATGTTTGTGTTTGCAGCTTATTTTAAAGATGATTTGCTGTGCCACTTTGCAGCCAGCATGATAAGTGGTTTGGCGACTACTTTAGCTTCTATGCCTGTTGATATCGCCAAAACTAGGTTAGTAATAACTTTTCTCATTTAAATAAATTGAGATGTATACTTGTACAGCTGAGAGTTGCAACAGAATTACAACGCATGGCAACCACCTACTTGTGTAATAAAGAATTAATGGGCCTCGATAGCAGAATAACATTGAAACTTTCAACTTTAGTTGGTTGATAGCATCTAAGCCGTTCAGTATTTATCGTTCCAACCTTTTTTGTAGGATTCAAAATATGAAGATTATCGATGGAAAGCCTGAATATCGTGGAGCCCTGGTAAGAATCTTTTAAAGCTAATTGTTTTCAAAAGTGCGACGAACCCTTTTCGAATATGATTATTTATGGCCTGCACTATTGCCACTATGGTGTTCAAAGTCCGTTACACGTGATTGTTTTTCTTTTTCCAACTTTCTTTCACAGTCTCTAGCCGAGAGACCCAAGTTCCCTCTATCGCCGCCAAGTTTATAGTCCTCCTAGTTATCCACAAGTAGACTCTGAAGTAAAGAAATAGCGCCATGAATTATCCTATTCATTCCTTTCTTTTGCTTGTGTTTCAGGACGTTTTTGTGAGAGTGATCCGTCAGGAAGGGATTTTCGCGTTGTGGAAAGGATTCACACCATACTATTTTCGTCTTGGTCCGCACACTGTTCTAACGTTTATCTTCCTCGAACAATTTCAAAAGCTGGCGAAAAACTTCTATGGTGTGTCTAGTGGTGGCGGTCTTTGAGGATAGGTCAGCTTGGCTGTGATGAATGATTCTTGTACAGTTACAAATTCATCTTCTGAATGACATGGAGGGATCATTTGACAGAGGAAGAATTTATTAATAAGTTCAATAATGTTTAGGCGATGGTCATTGCAAATAGCTATGCAGAAATAATTAATTTCAATGACGAATAAGACTCCATAGACCTACTGAGACGGCGATGGTCTCCGTCTTGGACAGTGAGCTCACCATGTCTTATTCTGAAGATACATGGATTAACGAATGAGACCTGAAAACTCTGCAAATACGTAATGACTGTATGAAACTCCTCTATAGGTAACTTATTGGTAAATTTTTGTGATGTTGGTATTAAATTTGTTATGTTTTATAGCTTCAGCGATCATTTTTTCAAAAACAAATGTCTTTATACGTATGCCAATTTTTTCTTAACATCTCAAGCCAAGACTTGGAAATGGGAATTTCGATCGTGAAACCTTATGGTTGATATCCTCATTATTTGTTTACTCCCATCGGTTTTTATTATTTTTTGGACAGAGACACTTAGTAAATAAAAAGATTATCGTTCATGTCTTTGAAACTCGGTAATTGAAAGACAAATTTCACACAAAAGTAATTTGGCTCAAGAATTTGTTAGATGGAGACGATAACGGGTTAGCTTGGCATGCAAAAAAAAAGGTGAGTGTGTCATTTGAATCTTGTAAACTCGAGCGATTTTAATCTGCTCTTTCGATACAATTCTGTGACCATTTACCCATCCTGATTAACCCTCATCTGAAAAATACATTTTTGCTTTCGATTCATAGTTTTTAAATTTGTTTTGTGGAAGGAACTGAAATTGCAGAAATGAAAGGTGTACAAGACAGCTCTATGTGGCTTCAAAAAATTGACAAAACAAAGATCAAATATTCTTCCGGGCGAGAGAGTAACCTTTGCATTCACTATCCGTTCACGTCACACAATTTCTGTCAGAAACAAAATTTAAAAGCAAGATCGAGGTTTTCGGTAAATGTTGAAGGCTGAGTAAAGCTTTGACAAAAGTTGGAAAATTTAATCTATTTCCATTCATAGGAACATTTATTGCATAAAATTTAAGATAACTGTTGACAGTTGTTTACACAATATAAGACGCTGACCTGTATCCTCTCAGCAGTATAAGAATGAGTCTTATTATCTTTGAGGCACCAAATCACTAACAAGCTTTGCCGAGTGTTCTGCTCCTTTTTTCAAGAGAGCGACAAACATTTTCTATCGAAATTATCCTTAATAGAAAACATTTGTTTTTGCAGCTGTTTTTAAGCTTGTTAACTAAATTTGTCTAGTGAGTAATCTGGTGGTTACAGAACACAAATGTGGTTAAATTTTCTTCGTAGTAAACATTCTAGCAAATAAGTGTCACAGCATTTGCGCAAGAAACCAATAGCCAGAGAGAAATTTCAGAGTATGCCTTCGAACCGTCAACCATGAGAACACGGAGATATTCAAATATTCATAGATGAACTTTGTTATCAATTACTCTGACATAATTAGCCATTAATTATTTGCACAGAATGGGTGAAGTCTTAGAGGTAAACCGCAAGTTGCTGAAAAGGACATCGATTTTCTTAGCATAGAACTGATTTGAACCAGTGAAAAACCAAGTTGTTTTGTAACTGAAAGAGTAAGATAACTTGCTTTTCCCTGTAGAACTCTGACGGAGCGGTTTCAGCGATCTGAAAAAAACGTTCAGTGCAATCAAACACATGTTTATTACGAAATGAGCTCATGAATTTCAAATGACTTTTAGCTTGTAAAGGAATGAGAGCATTGCAAACGCATAATTAGAGCACCAGGGACGAATTGGACATGGAAAGACTTCGCATTATGGGCCAGAATTCCAACGAAAATGAAGCAGAAGTGGCAGCAGTCATGAACAGAGATGACAAGTCTTGTCATAGGAAGATCGATTGGAACGCTGTAAACAGAGGGCCAAGGATTGTTATAAATATTTCTGGGCAGCGATACGAGACCTATGAAAAGACGCTTGAATTATTTCCTGAGTCACTTCTTGGAGATAAAGAAAGAAGAAAGGACTTCTATGATCCGGTTAACAATGAATTTTTTTTCGACCGTAACCGCATTTGCTTCGAGTCGATACTAGCTTACTACCAAACAAACGGAATTCTTATAAGGCCGCAAAGTATTCCACGGAAGGTATTTATAAGCGATGTTCGCTTCTTTGATCTCGGACCAAAGGCTTTGGTTCAAGCTGGTGAAGGATTGGAACAGCCTGTCGAACAAAATAAACGACTTTTACCAAAGAACAAAATACAGAGAAAAGTATGGGAGTTATTTGAACATCCAGACACTTCGAATTTTGCACGAGGAATCGCCATTTGGTCCGTTTGTATAATTATCTTATCAATAGCTCTTTTTTGCGTCGAGACTTTGCCGCAGTTTCAGGAGGAGCCAGCTAAAACAGTTAATGGAACAGTCACTTCGTTTGCATCGAAAAAGAAAACAGATAACCCATTCTTCCTCATTGAAGCAATTTGCATCACCTGGTTTACATTAGAGTATGTAATTCGTTTCATTTTTAGCCCAAACAAGTGGAAATTCTTCATTTCAGTGCTAAATATGATTGACTTGGTTTCCATTATACCGTTCTATATAACTCTGCCTATGGAGGATTCAGGTAATGTTTCGTCACTCGCAGTTCTTCGCTCCGTCCGTCTCGTGCGAGTCTTTCGTATTTTCAAACTGTCGCGTTACTCGCGTGGACTTCAAATTCTGGGTCACACTCTGAGGGCGAGCTTGAGAGAGTTAGGCCTTCTGTTTTTCTTCCTCTGTATGGGAGTTGTTCTGTTCTCCAGTGCTGTCTATTATGCAGAAATCAGCAATGAGGATGGAAATGATTTCCTGAGTATTCCTCATTCATTTTGGTGGGCGATTATAACCATGACTACTGTGGGCTATGGAGACATAACACCCAAGACTCTTGGTATGTATCCTATATGACTTTGGTTTTAAATATTTGCTCTTAAAGTTTGTTATTTTCTCATTATTGAATATTTCGTGGCTCTCGAAACTGATTACTATAAGTAAGTTTTGGTCACGAATCAAGAAATAACACACTTACGAGAATTGAATAGAAATCAAGGTATCTCTAGATGACACTTTGTTTTAATCCATTGTTTACATCTGTGGGTAGAAATCAAACTGACCTTCATTTGTAGATCATTAAAAGGCAATCGTGTAAAAACAGAACAGTTGTAAGAATTACCGAAGCCTAAAATTGCAAGTCAAAAATTCCTGCCTTTGGTAGGAGACAATTTTTCTTAGAAAAATTCACGCGTCGATGATTTTCACGCGAAACCTGGCGCTATAGGATTTTTTGAAACAATGCATTATTTAATTTCCATGTCATCTATTTTGACTGTGTAACTGTGGGATATGACATTCTTAAGAAAAGAACCCCTGCAAATGGAAACAGTGCTCGTCAGTAGTCTTGCAGAAAGCCGTGTATCTGATACAGCGATAAGCCTGATAAGTGACTTTCACTTAATTAAGGATCCTATGAAAATCTTACATCTGAGTGATCTGTCAAAAGTGAGTGTTTGCTTTAGGTAAAGAATGCAATCAGAATGAGGCGTAAAAAAATCAGCAATTCTGACGCATTCTACAAACAGGGCACTTCATTAGTTAAGTACGTTTTAAGACAAAAACAAATAAGGTATTTTAAATGTTCTCGCCAAAAAACCAGCATACTGCTCGCAATTTGTGACTCAAGGCAGCATCCTTTGGGATGTTCACCTTGAATTTGATGTCGCCTATCGAGGGTCTGATAAACCACAACTCAGTCATATCGCAGGAAAATCCAAATCTTTTATCCTCCCCTCATCATAACAAACAAATATCGCAATGATGTAAAACGTCCAAAAACGCACACTGAGGTAGACGCACTGGTGAAAGAGCGCGCGCCTTGATTCAGCGTACACCTACTAGTCAAGAGTCATGTCTAGAGGCCTGTGTTCCCGTGTTGGATAAAGACTTCTTTTATATTTTTTTTTTAAGAAAGAGCTATCTTATCGGGTTTTCATAGTTCTTATTTTAAAACAAGTTATAGGAAAAATGAAGTGGGTACAATTAAAACTCCTAAGATTATTAGCCTTTTGAGGCATCTTACTGAGTGTAGGGCTGTTTGTCTGGGAACTAGCGATTGACTCCGACTATTATTCACGTTATCCTGCAGGTGGAAAGTTAGTTGGCTGTTTCTGTGCCATCACAGGTGTGTTAGCCATTGCTTTACCAGTGCCAGTCATAGTCTCGAACTTCGCTTATTACTACTCGAAAGAGAATGATGGAAGGCATTCAAACATGGATGGTGAGGATGAAGACGACGAAATAGAACAGGAAAATGAGCTAGTAAAGAAAGAAAAACATGTAAAGAAAAAAATCTCATTAAATTGTACTGCAAAGATATGTCGAACAAATAGAGGCAATGATACAGTACAAATAAAAAGAAAACGAAAATTTGCAACGGTGAATTATCCTGACACGCTGTATAATGCTTTAGATTCCAACGCAAACAAGGATCACCAAAATGGATTGGCAAACGCCAACCCAGTTAAGGACGAAAACGATCAAAAGAGCTACGAAAAGGAGACTTCTTTGTCGCAAGTAGAGACAATCGTCTAAACACATTCTGGAATACAGGAAATGTCACGTGCGACTAGGGAGACATCACGTTCAGTCATTGGCCCACTCTCAGCTGGCGGGATACCACAATGAGGTTAATATGATGACTTACTCTGTTTTCCAAAGTAAGGGCATCTATCTATGGAAGGTTTTCTATGATTGGCAGCCCATTGTGGAACATTCGGTATGACCACGAAAAGGGCTTCTCAAATGTTACCACTGAAATCTTAGCAGGTAGGAGGCCTTTAAGGCCTCATGAACGTCGGTTTTAAACGGCCTTTGTTGAAACTCATGTATCCCTTCCACGGCTGCGGATCAGTGTGTTATTCAGGTGATAAAATGAAAAATTTCAGCTCTGGTAAAACCAGCTGTGATCACTGTCCGTTTAAAGACTTTAATTCTTCGTTGTCCTCCAGAAGAGGTTATAAAAGAGAAAGACGTTCTTTCCTCTAATAAACACGGTTTACAGTGACCGAGACTGTGCGCAAAATACAAAAGATTTGTTGAAATTCTTGTTGAAATTTCTGTAGATAGAAGTTAGGCTTCGAGAGAACTGATGGTAGAAAGGGACGAGAGATTTCCCTGCCTGGCCAGTGGTTTTGAACTTGGAACTGAAATTCACGGCAAATCATGCCGCGTTAGTCTTTGGACTTAAATAAATACCAAAAATATATTCAAATCTGTTTCAGTTATTTGAAGTTAAACCTTATAATTTGCTCCTTCATTATTGAAACTATTAAATTTTTCTACTTTAGGAAACAACCTTCCCAATTCTATGATAATTTGGTCAGATGTAAATTGGCCACCGTAAAGAGTTTTTAAAGCTGACATATACATAGAGCGCTATCCCTTCATCAGAGCAAATTTCTTTGGCATCGTGGTCATTACGAGTAGCAATTTTTCAGTTTTTTTTCTTTTTCTGTCAACTGGAGTAAATTAAAAACTTGAACGATTCTCTAATTAAAAACTAACAAACAAACAAACCACCTAATAGTTACAAATCAACCTTACCGGAGCGATTCTCTGGTTATCATTTTTGTGTAGAACGCATGCGCAAGAGACCCGTGGTGGGGTGAACGAACAGTATAAAAAGGGTAAGTTTCTTAAGAAACAGTGGTGCAGCGTCGGTGGATAATACTTAATTACATGGTAATTAAGTATTATCAAATGAGTCAATAACGTAAATTGGCCATCGAAAAGAGTTTTAAAGATGACGTTTCGAGCATTAGCCGTTCGTCATTATTTTGTCAAATAATGACTTGCTGTCGCTAAGGATTGTAGTTCCGCTTAATTGCAGGCTGCTTTAATTATTGTGGATTGGCTTCGTTTCTCTGCGAAGCATTTAGGAGCTTGTACATTGCAAGCTTTACTGATTCCTGAATAAAACACCCCTGTTAAAAAACAAAAGCGGCATTAATTGACCAGTTTTTTACCCCAAGTCAACTTCATGTTGAAGACGAATTTAAGTTTAAAGAAAAAGAATTGTTTACCGTTGTCACCAAATCCAGTGTTTTTTCTTTTGTTTTTGTTTTTGTTTTGTTTTTTACTTATTCATATCACGACAACTACACTTTGGAAAAATTTAGTTGGTTGATTTAACCCATTTGAGGCAATGCAAAATAATCATTTTGGTTTTATGAAAATGCCAGAACAAACCATAGAAACTCGATGAAAACGCCAAAAAAGAGCATTTTTACTTTTCTCTCTGACTTTTTAAGCTCCCCTGTACATAGCTTGTTCTGTAGATGCAATTCAGCGCCCGTATATTTTACAAGCCTCGAGGAAATCGTCAGTTTCATCCCTAACACCTGTTGTCAAATGCTTAGTTATGATTTTATGTTTTTAAAACCATTGTCGCTGTTGAAATACTAGGATCAGATTGGAAAGACCCTTAGAAAAGTCACGAAACTGATAGAATCGTAGTCGTTTATGATCAATTAAGTGGGAAAAGGGTATGTCTGGTCAAAAAAAAAAAAAAGAACAATTATTGTTGTAAAGTGGGCGGGAAAATTGAGTATCCTCAGGGCCCTTAACCCTTTAACTCCCAATATCTCTTTAGCAACTCTTCTTACTGTCTGCCATACAGTTCTTGTGATGTTAGTTTTGAGAATTTGGTATTGGATCAGCTAATAATCCTCTAACTGATATTTTTCTTTATTCTCATCAATTTGCCCGCTTGATATTGTCTTGATATCGTAAGGAAAAATTATGTCTTGGTCACTTATGGGAGTTAAAGGGCTAAGATAAAAAAAAATTGTGAGGACTTAAGACTCATCCCTCAAGATCCACCTCTTCTCCAGCGCTAAGAATTTAACCCGACGAAAGTGAAGGAACAGAATTGAAAATAGAAGAGTTACACGTCCTACTGTTACCAATATCAAGGTGCGAGGAGGCCTGGTCAAAAGTTCGCGGCTCAGGGGACTAAATGTGCTCCGTACATGAAGAATCTTAGGTAGAATCGTTGTACGCGCAGTCTATTGACTCTAAGCACTTGAATTGTTATGAATGGTACACAAGAACAGAAAAAGTCGACGAGAGCCTTTAAATTATCTGTCTACTTGTTAGCTTTGCGGCCATGGTCCTTCTCAGCGTCATTTATTCCGGTGGTTTTAGGGGCCGTTTTGTGTTGGAGGGCGACTGGTCTTTTCAGTGTCTCGTTGCTCGTATTGACAATGATAGCTGTTCTTGGAGTCCACGCGGCCGGCAATCTGGTAAACACGTATTACGACTACATGAAAGGAATTGATAGCAAAGTATCAGACGATCGTACTCTAGTTGATCACCTTTTAACGCCTAAAGAGGTTGTCAATCTGGGCGTTCTTTCCTATGGCCTCGCCACCCTTGCCCTTGTGTCCTTGGTTGGATTATCATCAGCGAAAATGGAACATTTGTCGTTCTTGTTCTTCGGAGGACTATCTGGCTCGTTTTTATACACTGGTGGTGTTGGGCTAAAATATTACGGTGTCGGTGATATTGTTATTGTTATCACGTTTGGTCCTTTAGCCGTCCTTTTTTCTTACCTGACTCAATGTGGTAATGTGGCGTTGTTTCCGCTGGTCTTTGCCATTCCTGTGGCTTTGAGCACGGAAGCTATTCTTCACAGCAACAACACGCGAGATATGGAGACTGACAAAAAAGCCGGTGCAGTAACGTTGGCTATCATTCTTGGCCAGCAGCTCTCATATGTACTCTATTGCCTCCTCCTGCTTGCTCCATACATGATATGTACTGTGCTCTCAGTCAACTTATCTGTACGTTTCCTTTTACCCCTTATCACGTTGAGAATGGCTTTCAAATTGGAAAGAAGCTTTCGGGAAGGAAAACTTATTCTGCTTCCTCAACAAACTGCTAAATTGAACTTAATGTTTGGGTTACTGTACACTTTAAGTTGTTCAGTTGCCCCTCTAAGTCTACCCAGATAAAGGTTAGCACATTGGTAAATGGATTGGTTAGTGACTGTGTAGTCTATGTGGCATTATAATTTTTGGGGGAGTTCTATTTTTTCAGATTGAAGTTTTTTTGTTGTTTTGTTTGAATGAATGCTTGTGACTCCCCAGTAATGAATTGTTTTTAATTCTCTGTTCAATTAGAGGACCATAATAGTGTGCTTTTTTTTTTTAGGTGGTAGTTGGTAAAATTTCCCCTCTGTGGTACCTCTTATCACCCCTCCCTTAAATAATTTAATTGGAATTCAACAGGCAAAAGAATTGTTCTTCCAGGTGAAAAATTTCTTTTAACTGATGTGCTTGAAGTAAGGAGGCCACTTTTACTACTTGTAGGGCTAGAAAAATGGACATGTCAAGTGTTTGATTAGAGTGAGTGAGAGAATTTTGCTGAGTTTTATATTAGGGCATTCCTTTTTCTTTGGAATTTATTATTTTTTCGTTGATCAAGACCAACCCATTAGTCTTTATAAATCTGATGTTACTGCAGTCCATGGTCCTCAGTCATGTTAATTTTGGGGGCACCCATTGTAGTCTGTAGACCTGTAGTCAATGTTTGTGTAAGCATGCAAGGGTTATGGAAGTAGCATTGAAAGTTTGTATTGATTAGGTCAGGTATTCTGCAATCCAGCAAATGGATTTATTGGGTATGTTCCTGGCAACTCCACTGGTAGCATTTCTTCAATAGTCATGTAATTGCCTCAATCAATCAGTGGACAGAGTAGTCTTAAAAAAGTTTTTAACTTTGGTTGTAAGTTGTAAATTAGGCCAACCTCATAAAGTGTTTTTTTAACACTGCCTGAACAAACCAGTTTTAGAAAAGAAGAACAAAAATAAACCAACACCCAACAATAAAAAATGTAAAAAAAAAAGCATAAAGGAATGGAAAATTTTGCTTTGAATTCATGGTCTTGAACAACTCACACCTCTTATCATTTTTTTGATACCATGGTCCAACCAAGCCTAAGAAAGAATCTGTTGATATCTGGGTTTTCATAGTATTTAAGAAAAAGTCATTTCAAACAAATTAAATGTTATATTGCATCAAAAGTTGACTTTGTATTTTTATTGTATTAAACCTCACCCTAGATAATAAATCATTATTGGATGGGGATGAGCATGATATCATGAATTATCAATGCAGAGGTCTGAGTTATCTGGCAAAGGGGAAGGCTTGGACTTGACATGATAACCCAATGTTTGCTGCAGATATTGAGTTCAAATATCAACTTGACATTGTATATTGACTACATGCTCTCAACCAAAAATACCATAAATGTATTTATCAGTAATTGGTGATACAATTGAATCTGATCTTTTTCCATAGTTACATTTCATAGGATCAGACTGAGTGTTTCTTTAGGTACTAAATTGACACTGTTTTCCTTGAAATTCTTTACTAATAAATGTTTAGATTTGTAACCAGTATAGGAAATTAGGATGACGCTTTCAATTGAAGAATTGTTTGTTGCGAATGAAATTTTCTGGGTTTTTAACCTCTTCCTTTGATTCTTTTGGTTGCAATTCACTACCTCAAAAGAAAAATGTACTTGTTTGTCTCACGATGTGGTCACTTCAGATGTAGATTGCTATTTGACATTCATAACTTGCCATAAGCGTAGATTCTGGCTCAAGAAAACCTACTGGTAAAAATAATCCAATTACCTAGTTAGTTAGAAAGAAGTCTCATTGATTCTCTGCATTAAATAATTAAAAAATTATGAGTTACAATAAAACCAAAATAAATTTGTTTTCCCACTATTCCATCCATGTCCTCTGCAGAACATGAGAAGAAAAGTCATCCAAATTGAGCTATCAGTTTTTAAGAATAAGTTACCTTTAAAGCTTATCTTTTTGCAATAACATTTTAGTCTCTTGTTATTGTTATTACATATTTTGTCAGCATTAGATTCACTATAAGCTTCTTTCAAAATTATTCTGAATTTTTAAGAGAGAACACATTCACTTTTGTCTAAGAACTAGCAAAAGGAATATTTCAATTTATTCATTCACTAAATTAAAACCATCATAGGCGAAAAAATCAGGTTACATTTTTGTGCAACTTCAAAGAAGTCTTCAACCACCATTGAAGATTTATGGGGGGTAATAAATATAATAAGGTATTGTTCAGTGTTACCAACTGACTTCAAAACATAAATTGGCCATCGTAAAGAGTTAAAAGGCTGACGTTTCGAACGTTAGCCCTTCGTCAGAACGATTGGAGGTGTTGTGAGTTGCTTTTGGGTTTATATGCAGAAAATGGATCAACGCTATTGATGGGAAAAGTAAACCCCCGCATAACCCACAATTCCTCCAATCGCTCTGACGAAGGGATTACGCTCGAAACGTCAGCCTTTAAACTCTTTAGGATAGCCAATTTACTTTTTTAACTCAGTTGATAACACAACATTACCCTGTCATTTTATACTATCCCACCGACGCAGTAAACTGTGGTGCAGTTCCCCTTGATGCAAATTATGACCTTAAAAGCAACCACTCGAAGAACGTTTTGAGTAGATGTAGTTTAAAAGTGCGTGATATTTTCACAAATTGTATAACAAATTTTTCCATACGCTCGGTTCTTTTTACCGATCAATTTTGTTTTTTTATGTTACTTTAAACACCCTTGCTTCCAGCAACCTCAAAATGTACCGTGAACTGATGAAATGACGCGCGTGATTGGTGCCAGAACAGGTATGAGTGGGGTAAGTTTGTCTCATTATATTTCCTAAACAAGCACCGTGACCTATCTTTTAAATTGTATTTTTCGAAACAGATATTGGTAAGGAACATTTAAGGAAAGTTTAAGAAAAATTGTTCCATGCCTATTTTTTCTGATGAATCACCTTCAAGGAAAAATCTCAGAACTATTTCGACAAATGTTTCAGCATACGTGGGGGACTGCACTATTTTGTTTCAGTATGTGTTTAAGCGATGATGAGACAAACAGAAAACCGAAGGATTAAAAAAATAATAACGGTAAGCACCCCAACTGTGTCATGTACATTTATTTTCATTAAAGTACTCATGTCATAAAGGGAACATTATTGAAGAGGATATCTCCTCTAGAGGCAGATCTCTTCTTTGGCCTTGCATTCAAAGGAAGGTTTGCTAATGAACCTGCTATTTTGGTCACTACCGGTCACGGAGTACAACTGACAAAATTTCTTTCACAGAAAATAGCTTCACAAATAACAGCAAAAAAATTACTCTCCATTGATTAAAGTCTGTACTCTGGCTTCAGGGGGCAACACGTACGCACACTCTTCAATTACTTAAATCCAGGCTGCTTCTCAATTTTTGGGTGAGTAATGACCGCGGAAAGACTGAGTAGAAGTTCAAACAGCCAATCAAATTTCAGCTTATTTTCAAAGAATACATATCACCGGTAGGAGCCAGAGTGCAACAGTTTCTTATTTGTGTAAGTAGGGTACACCGTTGACACGAGAGATCTCTCCATAAAAGTACGGTTTTCTGGCAATACACAGTTAAAACTTTACCGAAGAAAGTTGTATTTCATTTGTTAAAATCGAGAAGGTAAGCTGAGTTTCTCAAAAACACCCACTGAATATTTTTTACTCTTATTTTTCAGTATTGAAATTTCGACTTCCTCTTTGAGCATACCAAAGGGCGCTGGACGCATTTCTTTTCTTGTTATTGCATATATTATTTTATTTTCTCTTTTTCTCTTTTACAGTCTTGAAAATGGCTAAAACTCTCAATTCTGATGGCGCTTTACTGAATAAAATGGAGGTGAGTTTACGGACTGTTTTCCAACTTAATTATATATTCAAACTTCCTTTCAGCTCGGCGAGGTGAAGCTCTCCTCAGCCCTAAAAAATCGAGTCGTTAAAAAAGACATCATCCTCGATTCGAACGTTTCACACCAAAATTCAGAATATATATTTCGTCAAAGGTATTCTTGTTGCAATATGGTGAAAAGACAGAAATAGCTATTTTTGTCACTATCGCGAGGTGGTTAGAACTTCCTGTTTCCTTTGAAATCCCCCTCGCGCAGCAGATGGTTCGATTTTGTTTTCTCTGTTGGTAATGCGATGTCTGAATTTTATTTTCCTTTTTCTTTTAGTGGTTCAACTATCTAACCACCTGTAAAATGGATCGGTTTGCACAGAATCTTCTTCATGCAAACCAACCACTCGTGCCCGAAGCAACTCCGGTACCTGGATTTGAGCGCTTGATATGTGCTCCTCACATCAGTCGAAATCAGAAAATTCACACCATGAGGCAACCAGGTTTGAAGTCGCTATATTTATGTCCTGAATCAACCTAAAACGTTCGTTTTCAGAATGCCTACTGCGTTCTAATTTAAAAATCGAAAGAGGAAAAAGTTTATAACTTGAAAATATTCGAGTTTGTTTGTGTTTTAATTTGCAGTTGAGTTTCCTCAAGAAAAGTCCTTCTTGGATGATCTGTATGCCCTTCAAGGCGACGAAGTGGATGCTCTTTTCAATGGGATTTCGGCCAGTGGCTTTTCAGACCACTCTGTTTTCAATCCCGAACCAGAGAGATATAAAGGTATTATGACCTAATTTTTACTCAGTTTGCAATTGTTGTGTTTTCCGTTTTGAAAACGTCATTCCTTGTTTCCAAGGCGACCTTATTCTAATTGGTTTCGAGTCTCTCTTCATTGACACCTGGTCCAATTCGTTAAGACTTCCTGTTTTCGTTTTTCAAAATCGTCAGCCTTATTATTAAAATGTTGAATTTGTTTTTTGAATTTTATGTTTTTGACTTTTTAGTATGACCGCTTATTAAATTCTCATTCTTAAAAACTGATAGCATGATTCAGACATAAAAGGAATAAAAGAAAGACAGATGCATATTGGTTTTCTATCATTATCATGAAGTGTTGCATCATGTCTAAAATTAAAAGAGGAGGTGATTATTTTTTAAGCGGTTGCTGCTTAATCTTTTTCTCCCCACATCTTATTTACACCTCCCACAATTTATTAATTTCAGCCATGAACTTGTGATATTTAACCATTCAAAACTAAATTTCCTCATGTTTTGATTCTTATATTCTCATCACTCAGTTGATTAAAAATCAGTACACATTGAATGGAGAAGGTATGTGGATCAGTTCTGGTTCAAAGGAATATCAAGTTCGCACATGTCTAATCATATTACATGTTTATTTAACATTCCTTTCATTTTTCAGATATTGATCACCTACCAGACCCAGCAGTCTTTGATGGGCTGCTAGATGAAGTACCCACTGTGCCATATACACCCAGTTTTGTCCCATTCATCTCGAAAGAGGAGGCTAAGTTCCAAGTTTGTGGTGATTCAGTGTACAATTCACCTGCTAGCAGCAGCCCTCCCTACAGTCCACCTACCAGTGAATCTGGTTCAAACACCAGTGCTGATGAAGGGATTCAAAGTGACCTTGAAAACATTGATGGTTAGTGAAAAGAAACCTCACCAAAACATACAGACACTATTGGACATATAAGAACAGCCCAGTGACTTGACTGCTTTATTCAAACCTGTTTTCTTAAAGGGTATTACTCATAGGTGTGAATTCTAGAATATTTTGTGTTATGATAACCATTTGAATTGTTTCTTCTGCATGTAAACTTTGTTTTAGATTTTTTTCTGGATAGAGTGAGTCAATCTGCGGAGTCACCCTTATCAGTAAATGGTGAAGCTGTCACATGCAATATTAAACAAGGTATCATCATTTTATTCTCATTTTGAGTATCTTTAGTATTGTGAATTGATATCTTGATTTTTACTCTATTAACTCTAATTTTTAACAGAATCAACTGTGTCAGCTGTTGTGCCGAAGCCAGTGAGGAGACGAAAGCGTGGGCCAAGACCACTGGTCAAATATCGAGGTATGTGCAATAAGTATTGCAAGTTTGACACCTTTCTAGTTCTTTTTCATCTCTATTTCCTTCTTGTGCAATCACACAATTTGTCCAATTTTAAGGTAGGAACTTGTGTTTTTCCATCTTTTAGGTGATGGACCAATTCAACTGTGGCAGTTCCTACTGGAGTTAGTCACTGATCCTAAATGTTCAAAACTGATCAAGTGGACTCAGGATGAGGACTACGAGTTCAAGATCCTTCAGCCCTCAACAGTGGCCAGGATGTGGGGGAAAAAGAAAAATAAACCAACCATGAACTATGAGAAGCTGAGCCGTGGTATCCGTTACTACTATGGCAATTCAGTGATTGAGAAGGTTCATGGAAAAAGATATGTTTACAGGTTCTTGTGTGATATCCCCAAAATTCTTGGCTATGATCCAATGGCCATTAAATGTGAAGACATTGTGGATGATGCTGTGTGTGGAGAAGCTGTACCTGAAGTCAATGATACACCACATGTTGCTCCTTCAGTTGAAGATAGCTTTCTTGCTGGATATCTTGACTTTAGTGTACTTTATAGTTAAATTCTTACAGTTTATGTTGAGACCCAAAACGTTATGTAACGTTAAGTTGTGTTACTGTTATTGCAGTTATTGTTATTGCGGTGACACTTTTTGTAGCTTGTATCAAGCAGATTATGTGGTAGTCAGCCCAATGATTTATAAATCGTATCGATTTTATCCATGCAAATGTTGTGAAGTAAATTGTGCAATCACTCTGCCAAATCAAATTTGGTAAGGGCCCAGAGGGATTGGATGGTTTTCTTCGCAAGATTTGCAATAAACTGCATACTTTGTATGTGCCCTGTGAAAATAAAAAGATTGTAATTGTAAGTGTGAGATATATTTAGACGAATGAAAGGAAATCTGTTTCCTTTTATTCTTTGCCATTTTGAAGGTCTTGCAATGTCTTGTGGATGCTGGCATCAAATGCTATGATTATAGTTACATCAATATTGTAAAAAATACCATAATTTCAATATTTACATTAGTACATGAGCTGCATAATCCAAGGCTCACTCAGGTGTTAAAAGGAATGATGAATCTGTCTGTTTTCTAGGAAGTTGAAAAATATTTGCCATATCTTTGAAAGTTATTTCTATACACAATTTAAAGTAATAAATAATTATTGTTACACTGAACCAGTGAGCACTGTACTTTTTGCCTTTATATTGCTACCAGGTAGCTTTATTTGTTACAAATTAGTGTCTGTAATATGCTATTGAGTGGTTGGAAATAAAATGCTTCTTAAATGTACTTGAATGTGACAGTTATCTGAATATGTAATTATTGTACAGCAGAGCGATGGTTTTGTGATCAGGCTGTAGTAATACATTGTCACAGTAGGTATGTGATGGTGGTTGAAACTTGAGAATATCATCTCACAGTTGAACTCTTAGAGTCATGGTCAAGGTACTAGTTTTTAACATTTGGAGATATCTCATCTCAACAGATGCTTGACAAAAACTTGGTTTCAGCTAGGTCTTTAAAATCTTTCTGAGAGAAATCAATCTGAATATTTTGTCTCAAGTACTAAGTTGAATTGCTATTAAATTATAATTTGGTTTTCTGTCCAAAATTGATAAATAATTGTATTTGTTTGAAATATTTCTTTGTTTTTGATTATTTAAATTCATTTTAGCAACTTTCAGTTGGGATGACATTGAGGTGAAGCGGTCTCAATAAATTTAGAAGGCTAGAATTGAGTGGGACAAAAACATTTCAATTTCTCTTCTGACAACTTTCAGAATGGAAGTCACATGGCACTTATTTTGTAGTAGAATGCAGATAGGAAAAATAGTAAGGTTAAAAAATTTCATACTTCTATTTCTTTGTTAGAATTACTAAATACTCCCAGCGACACTTTCTTGAAAGCTCAATTGAAAGCCAACTATAAAATACAAAAAAACTAGGAGGAAAACCAGACTATTAAAAAAAAAATCCAAGGAGAAATCGAGAGATCCTTAAGGCCCTTTTCCAAAACAAATTCATGAGGAAGTGTAATTCTCCTCTCAAAGTAATGAATTACTCCTGAAGTTACCAGTATTATGTAACTAAATCCTTTAAAAAATTCTTCCAAATTTAGAACAGGAAATTATATATACAAACCACTTTTCCACTCAAGACATATAAAATGGGTTTAGCCAATGCTCCTCATCTTTCGCTGGCAAGGAGTTAGTTTTAGAGTTTTATCACTGTACTAAGAAGAAATAAGATAAATTTGTCTTCACAGTTATCTAGTATGTATAGGGTGCACAAAACTTGAAAATGAAAAGCCCAGCACAATGACTTTATGGCTATAAATTCTACATAAAGAGGGAAACTCGTTATACTGATAATTCTAATTTGAACAGAAAGCTCCCAAAAAAATATTATTATAATTAGTATCTTATATTTCAAATATACCCTTATTACAGAGCAGTTTTTGTTAGAATGTTGAGTACAATTCAAGATTTATTTAGATTTTATCAACTAATAAGCTGTGGGAGTAGCTTTCGAAAGTAATATAATCTCCTTAACCAAACAGATCCATATCTAAACCGATTAGTGCAATCAAAGCAGTCACAGTAATACATGCTTGTTGCTGGCCTGCCAAGCTTTAGGGTCTTCGGGGCACTAAACAAGAATTAAGACAGCTAAAGCAAAGACAAGAGTGAGGGGTACTACCACAGACACTGATGGACCTCTTGAACCTGAACAATCACAGAACAGTTTGTCAAATAAAACTTGTCCTGTTACGCACATAAAAAAACATAATTATAAACTTTCATTGAGTGTTGGTGGCAAGTGCAGAACAAAATGCAAAGAAGAAGGGCCTTACAAGAAAACAAAACTTAGGCATCCAATTTGAAGGCAAATATTTTTAATTGACCTTTTATGGGGGAGAAAACACAATGCATTAATTTTGGCAAGGAGATAACGGGAGAATTCTATTTTGAAAATAATAAATTGAACACTTGACTTTGTTTGATGCAAATAACATCCTTTGTGAATATTGATGAACACCTTTTCTTGCCAATAAGTCCTGAAAAACAGCCAACAGCAAAAGGAAAGTTTAAAGGTGGCTAGGTGTATTCTCATTCAAGTCTCAGTGGCTTTTTCTAGTGTTCTAATCTGCTCTAACTTGTGGTTCTTAAATTCTATATGGATGCCTTCAGCATGTAAACAGTGCCATGGAGCATTTGGATACTTCGATCAATTTCTTTCGAAACATGCAATCTGAGCCAAAAAAATGATAATTAGTTTTTTCATAAAATATTTACTAGATACATGCTACTTTTAGGGAGAATAACCACAAGTAATATCAAAAATCCCATTATAGCAACATTTTAATCTGGTTGCTCTCGATTAAGGAAGGTCATGCAGATTATGCTTGGTGTAAAGTTCCTCTGTAAAATCGTAAACTTGTTTCATTGCATCTGTAACTTCTTTCAATAACTGCTTGGTTTTGCCCTTATCCATGTTTGGTTGTGCAATTTTCTTGATGAAATCTCCGACTTTCGGCAATGTGTACATAGCCCATAATGCCGCCTTTCGAATTATCCACGGATGGAAGTTAGCCAAAGATTCATTATAAGCATCTTTAGCCATGTAATAAGAGGAATCGTCGTCTGTTGATTGGCTTAATTTACTCATGAAGAGCATAGTGAAAGCAAGAGCCCGGTGCAATCTTAGAAGAGTTCTTGATCCTGACAGAGGGTGCGTTGTTTTCCGTGTCAAATCATTTTCGATTTCAAAATCAAGCATTGCTTGAATGAACACATACTTCTCTCCGTGTTTTGACTTTCGATAATCTTGAAGAATGCCCATTTTTTCTCTCACATCCGATGTAATGAATCCAAACACAGTCCCAAGCATATCGAAAAATATACAAAGTTCTCCATATCCTCGTATGTATTCGTCCATGACAAGGCTTCCGTCTTCTTGAAGTGTTTTTTTGAAGGCATCAAGAACGATGGCGAGTTCAAACTTTCTCTCAGTCATAATAATTAAAGTTATAGACCTTTGAGTAGGGTAATCTCTTCTTTGTCGTTACTACGCAAATTATTTATGAGCTATTTTCATACCGCCGGCTGAGGCCGTATCGACGCGTATAAGCCATTTTAAATACCAGCGGTTTCATCTCTATAAAACAAGCTTACCCCTGTACTGCGCATATATCAAGGGGGGAGAACCCTGACCACATCGCTGGACGACTGAGCTGACGGCTGAGCTCACACGATGAGATGTGACACCATGGAGTTTTGAACCCTATTTTAAAAGAATGCCAGAGATTAAAGTAGTTCCGTTAGGTATGTATAGTGAGATTTTTTATATTTCTTTCGTGTGAAGATTTTTCGCTCAGTGGTACCTCCTTTCAGAAGGCCCCACGCGATCAGGGCAAGTGTTCCTTTGCCTTGGAATAGGGGTTGAATTGGGTTAACACTTGTGACAAAATAACTGGCTATAAAAATATGTTTATATCATTCTGGCTTGGAATCTACAGAAGTTTTTATTTCAAGAAATAAGATGATGTCAAGAAAAAAGTTCGACATAAACCTTTACTATCCTTTGTTTTGAAGGATTGGTAAGATTTCTCTCTAACCCTATACTTTTGTAAGACAAAGCTGTAATCCCAAAGGCAGTCAATTATTTCAGACTATTTTCGCCATTGTCTTTTTCTCCAAGAATTGTTTGCGTAATGGAGATTGGGGCTGTATGGCAATAGGCCTTTAATGCATGTTTACATTTACTCCCAAGCCTCATGTTCAAGGCACTGACTGTTGGATTTTAATCAGAGAGTATTGCTTAAACACTTAAATCAAATGAATACCATGAAAACAACAAGAAAGCAACAAATACTATGGAATATTTTAGTACAAACAAGGCTTGGGGTGAATTTCAGTAAATAACATTATCATGCATCAGAGCTATTTGCCTTAAATTCTGCAAAGTTCAGTACATTTTTATATATCAATGTCTGTGCTATCTGCAGTCTTAAAATAGAGTATACTAGTTTCATTTAGAACACTGTTATGACATACACAATTCCTCTCTAATGAGAAGATTCTCTCTACCTTTACAAACTATCAGTGGACCTGATTTGAAGTTTTATTAGACTGAGTTTCAATGTAGGCATCTCATGCAAATTGTTGCATGGCCTTAGCACAAGGTTAGACAAGACCAATTTTTCTGGTACTGAGGCTGTCATCAACGTAATCAGTATACACTTATTGATCTTAACAACACTCTAGGGAGTCAATCACATTTCAGTAGTTAAAGTATCCCTTGAATGGTGTTAAAGCTGAGACTTCTCAGCACAGAAAAGAGTCATGTCCCCTTGATTAGATGACTGTGTTCATCTGAGGTGCCTTGATAAAAGCTTGTGGCTGTCCAAAATTCTGCTTACTTTTCTCTGTCTTCCTTGTGGGGATCTAAGGCAAAAAATAAACAATTGCCTCTACTTGATTAGTATATTCAGGGATGTCATAAAGGGCTGTGCACCGGGCATATTTTATATAGTATCCTTCCCTTCTTTTTTAGAAGACTGTCTAGCTGTGTTTTAACTGTAACTAACTGTTTTTTCTATTGGTATTGCAATTTGTGGGAATCATCTATCCAGGAGCTGGGCAAGGTATGTAGCACTTTACCATAGGTTTTTTTTGAGTTACTGTAGTTACTTAATAATGAAAAAACCCATGTGCTGAAATATATATTGCTATTATCCTAAAAAATAATCCCAAATATCTACTTGTGAATTTACTTTATGACATTTTCTTTCTTTTGTTCAATGTTAAATATTTTTAGATATAAAAAATAAATCAATATTCACGAATTTAATGTAATGCCATGTGTTGTTAGTTGTTATTAGGCCACAAACTGCTATATGCTGCTTAGAGTGATTAGGGAGATTAAAGTGTCTAGCTACTGGTTTGGATGTGTCCTTGTCATTTCTTTGTATATCACAAAGGTGTTCTCAGAATTGGTCACTTAGTTGTCTTCCTGTTGCATCAATGTATTACTTCTTGTAATAAGAGCAAGTTATGCAATCAATGACACTGATGGAGGTGCATGTGAAGTGATTAGTGATCTTAATAGGTCTCTTAGTTCTCAACATTTTCTCTACAATGTGAATGAAAGGACAAGTTTTGCATCATGAGTGAGCGCATCTGAAAATTCCAGGTTGGTCATTGGTTTGAAATGAACTTCTGACCAGAAAGTTGCCTATGTTTTTGTAAAGTTTGAATGAACTTAGTGGAGGTTGTGAAAATATAGTACCAGTCTCTAAATCATTTTGAAGTAATTTAAAGTTTTTAAGAATAATAGATTTAACTGTGTTGTTGCGAGGGTGAGATATAATAGTGAATGGAGTGCAATCAGTATTTTCTTTCTGTGCCTGCCACTCAATTTGTTGGCAGGCACATTGGTAGCCTACTTGAACAACAGAAACAGGATAGCCACATTTATCAAAAAACTGGCTCATTACCACTGATTTTTTTGGAAAAATCAGAGTTGTCACCACAAAAACAACGAAGCCTGAAGTGAGGAACTGTGAAAAAGGTATGGAAGTCTAGATGTGTGATGGATGTGAAGATGAATACAGTAAATAACTATGTGAGTCTGTAGGTTTGTGGTAAACACTAGTGCATAGACCATCTATATTGTTTGATAATTGAGCTATGTTATTGTTTATTTTAAAGATGTTGGACGTAGCTGTATCCTTGTTACTATTGGTGGGAAGAATATCATGCTTGACTGTGGAATGCACATGGGTTATAATGATGAGGTGTGTGTGCGGTTTTCAGTTCAATGTAATGTTCAATGAGTAAAGGAAAGTTGATTCACTTGTTGTTTCCTTTCTTTGACCTGCCAAACCTTCCCAAGGTGTTCTTATTTGAATACTCTATGTCATTACTCAATTTGATATGATAGAATCTATTACTTTCAACAAATTGCAATTTTTCACAGAGGAGATTCCCAGATTTCTCATACATCACTCGAGCTGGGCGCTTAACACAACATTTGGATTGTGTGATTATCAGGTTAGTAGAGTAGGTATTCTTTACCTCTGTCAGTAATTTTGCTATAGCCCATGAGGCTTAAAGAAAACCAAAGTCTTTTGCAAAAATTACTGATGAATTAATGTGTTAAGGTTATTATAAAGGTTGACATTTCAGGGCATGGAAAGTTTTGCCCAAGTAAAATGTGAAAGACTTCACTTGGTCTTCTGCCTGTCAGGCAACTGGGGAGAAAACTTGCATTTGAAGATGAGGATAATGATCGAGGGTTTGTCTTGGATAAGTGGGTGAGAGCTTTTTGAACCTGTGGAAAGAGTGTAACAAAGTAGTACATTGGGGCTCTCAGTGTGTGCGTTACAGGACCTTAAAAAAAAGAAGAATAGCATCCATGTGCTGATTATATTCATGAGGTGGTACAGAAGCTGGTGTTGTACTGTGCAGCATTTTGGCAATGACTTCATAATGACCAGTTGTTGTTTTTATTGTAACAGCCACTTTCACTTGGACCACTGTGGTGCTTTACCATATTTCTCAGAGATGGTTGGATATGATGGTCCCATTTACATGACTCACCCAACTAAAGCAATATGTCCTATTCTTCTGGTAAGCTGAAGCAATGTTAAACACACAACAGAGCTATCGAGATCTGAATTTCAATAGGTCTCAAAACACCTTTCTTAAAGTAAGCTTTTATCTTTCATTGAACCCTTGTAATAATAGTAAAGTATTCAAATTCTAACTAACTGACATTCTATCTTTGTCCCACTTTTATAGATCAATATAAATCAGTGACTGAGTTCAAAAGCTGTAATGTTTCTGGTCTCCTTTTTGCTGTCCAGAATACTTTTTCAATTAGGAACTCTTACCAAATATAAAGGGTATAAAGAAGTGTGATTCTCACAGTTTGTTGGTCCTTTGACAAGAAATATAGATCAGAGTTATCAAAGCAGCTATTTGATTCCATCTTTCTACAGTATGCTGTTTTTAGTTTACATGTTATGATCTAATTTACTTTCCCTTTGGTAACTTACGTGGCACTCTAAATAGTTCAAAATTCATTGAAGACACTTTCTCACTTAGAAATACCAGTAAAAATATTACTTTTATTTATTATCAGGAAGACTATAGAAAAATTACAGTTGAAAGGAAAGGAGAAACCAATTTTTTCACTTCACAGGCAAGTTCTAAGGGTAGCTTTTGAAATTGTATGGAATTATTTATTGTTCATAGTATAATTACATAAATACTGAAAACAATTGCACAGACATGTGTATAAAGGATCTTCAGGTGCTGTACTTGTCTGGTGAGTGCTTAAATGGATGACTTCAACCCATAAATTTATTTTTTCCTCTTGCTTGTTTGTTTTATGTGAATTATTTAGGTTATTTTTAAAGTGATTTTTGTCACTGACAGGCTCTAAGCTCCTTAGTAAATAATTTCCATAACTTCATTCTGTTAAAAATCCCTGTTCACTCTCCATTCAAAACTCAACAAGCATTATTATTTATTTGCAGTCTCAATAAAGAAATCTAATGGGAATCATGTCTTGCATATATTTAGATTGTGTAAGAAAGGAAAGTACGCATCATTGCACAGTTGCTGGTATTTAAACTAGGTGGTTCAAGGGATGGATTTCTTTTTGATGTCTTCAGAAAGTTTTGGTTTGTTTGTGGAAATCCATGGCTGTCTTCAGATATAATTTGGTTCCCTTCAAAAAGTCTTGGAATTCTCTGGATAAGAATCATGCCTATGACAAGCATACTCTGTAAATGACAAGCTGCTATTATACAATGGAGGTATAATTCTTTCACAAGTTAGTCACCATATATGTAACAATAAACTTTTTCTTTTTCTTTAGATGATCAAGGATTGCATGAAAAAGGTCATAACTGTCAATCTACACCAGACAGTAAAGGTAAATTAATCATTTAGAGTTTTTTTTTTGTTCATAGTACTTTAGCCAGTTATACCCACACCATCCCAAACATTTTTTAGTTTTTCAACAATTCGTATGTTGGTGATATCACTAACTGTAAGATTTACACTTTTTTATATGAGTCAGACATGTATGTAACTGATAAGTTCAAGATAGATTAAAACAAGAACCTCTGGAGATTATTTTTACTAAGTTTTGTTGCTTTCCTATTCAGTGATAGTTGTCTTTTTGTTGGAATGGCTTTAATCTCTTTTGATTTAGTACAAAATAGGCCAAGAAATTCCCAAGTGTAGGTAGAAGTAGCAAAAGATGTAATCAACTTGTGAAATGCTCACGATGTTCTGGATGAAAGGATGAAAATGTAAGTCAATAGTGCATAACTACATTTGCTGTGGGTTTTTTTCTGTTGAACAGGTTGACGATGAACTGGAAATCAAGGCATACTATGCAGGTCATGTTCTAGGAGCAGCCATGTTTCACATGAAAGTTGGGACTGAATCACTGGTATATACTGTAAGTGCTATCAATATGTTTGTGATTGTTTTCTAGCATTTAATGGCCCAGGATATTGGTTGCTTTTCATGAGGTGTCTGCCTGCAGCTATGTCACTATGTCACATGATGTATGGCAATCATGTAGCATGTTAGAAACTTGCCAAAATAAAACAAAGAGTTTGAGTTTTCTTTTGAAAGATATCAGTTCTCTGTACTTATCATCATCATTAGGTCTATGTTCAGACAATACAGAAAAAAAAAATTGGCACCATTTCTTGACATACTAGTGGGCTACATGTAAGCCTTAAATAAATATGTATGACATGAATCTCCAAAAACAAATAATATCACTCACTTATCCCATAGGCCAGGGGCATGGTCAAAGATTTAATGTGTCAAGCAATATTGCAAAATTGCCTTTATTTTCTGGCTTGTCTGAGTCTGTGAGAAGTCTACATAGTTCTCCTTCATATAACTTATTGATTATCTTTCTCCTTCTTACAGGGTGACTACAATATGACACCTGACAGACATTTGGGGTGAGAAATTTTTTACATGTTCTAAGGATTAGGAACAAAGTTCAGATACTGCTTTTCTTGTTAGTCTGTTCATTTGAATGTTTTAATTGGTTTTTTGTGTTTTTGTAATCCTTCATGATCACAATGTTATCTAGTCTTATGAGGTAATGAAAACAAGAAAAATATTTGACCGTGCAGGAGAAAAATAATTAATTCCTAAGTTCCAGTACAGAGTTTAGATAGATCAATGCCATTCTGTGTACCTTAGTTAGGACCTTTACTCTAAATATGCACCACCATTATAGGGAGTTAAAATCATCCAATCCGTCAAAATATTGTTTACATTAGTGCAGCTTGGATTGACAAGTGTAGACCGGATGTACTCATAACTGAGTCAACATATGCTACAACAATAAGAGACTCAAAAAGGTTAGAATTTGATTGAATACTTTCTGCATAATTGCTTTTGAATCATTTTGTTAAAGTTGAGGAATAACATAATATAAATCTTTCATTATAAACAGATGCAGGGAGAGAGATTTTTTAAAAAAGGTTCATGAATCCATGGACAAGGGTGGAAAGGTTAGGGGCCTCTTTTTTTTTTTTTTTTTTTTTTTTTTACCTCTGTATTCAGGTGATAAGTGGGATATTTGAACATTTCTATACAACATCGGGTAATAATTTTTGATGTAATGATAATGCCAGTGGTGGTAATGATTACTATTATTACATTTTTTTTTACATATGATACAACATAGAACTTTACATGTAGTAATAAGACCTTAAGAATATTGTAAGGATAGAGTGGATACTAGAAAATAAACATTTATGCCCATGAACATAAACTCTATTGCTATAGTATAGATGTAGTTTGATGTTATTAATATATACTTAACAGGTGCTGATCCCAGTGTTTGCTCTGGGGAGAGCTCAAGAACTTTGTATATTATTGGAAACATACTGGTAGGATAATGACTATTAACTATGTTTTATTTTATAGGGGCACCCAAGTTCATATTGTGACTTGCTTTGTCTGCTCTTGTGAATTTTCCTATTGTTCCTCTCTTTGTCAATGTAGCAAATTTGTCTGTGCCCTATGTTTTACAAAAAAAATGAATTGTCACTGGGTTTTGCTGTACTTTTCACCTAAACTTGTAAAAAAAGTTATTCATTAATTAAGATCATTAATCCTCATTGCTTATTTTTTCCTCATGGTATGACATCAGTCACACTATGAGGTTTAGGGGTTGCATGGACCAAAAATTCACACACTCACACTCTCTGTTCTCTGATCTGTTTGACAACTTTGTTAGGAAGCCTAATTGTTATAAAGAAACTCATTGGTGATGTACTTTCTCACAAAAAACAGTTTCCAAGTTGGACACTTAATTATTAGTTGAAAAATTGGCAGAAGATACCATTTAATAGAATTGTTATTAATATCATACCACAAGGTTGCTTCAAGGAGCCTTTGACTCGTTATTTCATTGTAAAATTTCCTTTCAGGGCTGATCAGAAACAATTTTATGGTTTAGTTGTTGTTTGTTTAATGTAAAGCCACCAGATGAGGTATACATTTTCTGCTCTGAATCATGTAAAATGGTGAAATGCTTGCTCTTCTATTTAGGGACAGAATGAATTTAAAGGCACCAATATACTTTTCAACAGGACTCACTGAAAAGGTACTGTCCATCAATGAAAAATGCCCATAATATATATTTAGAGCCTTTACTTTGTTGTGTGTGTTGTTAATTACAGAATTTACTTTTACTACAGTATCAGAGTAATTGTGGAGTAACTACAAGAAACATTTCCTTTGGGCTCTATCTTGAAAAGATGATTCTAGGTGATTAGACACTTGATCATCTTTGATTAGTAATTTCTCTAGAGGTGTGCAATAAGGTCAATAAAGTTTATCAATTGTGACAGAGTCATAGTATCTGTGTACTTGCATTGTAAAATGTTATGTAATTTGATAGCTCATTGTCAGCCGGTAATAATGTCATTGACCAATAAATTAACTTTCTTTAGGCAAACCATTACTACAAGTTATTTGTGACCTGGACAAACCAAAAAATAAAGAACACATTTGTCCAAAGGAACATGTTCGATTTCAAACATATCAAGGTAAGTGTAAATTTAATAATGAGCAAGGAGAAGTTACACTGTAGGTTTTATTCTTCTTAAAAACAGGTTTAAAAGGTAGATATAATTTCTGTCTTTTACAATTATAGAGACTCTTGAGCTGTTGGCAAAGTTGAAGCACCTACTCCTGATGGATCTAGAATCTCCTTCTCTGCAGCCTGTTTTGGTGCTGCCAGTGTTAGTCTGACCATTTTCTTTCCTTTCTTCCTTTCAGCCTTTTGACAGGTCATATATTGACAATCCAGGACCCATGGTAAATAACTTCAATTAAAATGTTATTTTCCTTTGCATTGGAATCAAAGGAAAAGGATATTTACATGTAGGAACCATGATTTGTTTTCTTGGAAACTTAAAAGTAATTTCATGTTATAGAGATTAACGTACCTTTAAATAATTTGAAAATTATCTTCAAATGTGCATAAAAAAAACTTGATTACAGGCGAGACACACTCTGACTCTTTCAAACAAATTTGTCCAATTGCCTTTGCCTCACTACTCTTTTTTTTCTGTGCTGTGGTGATCTGCTTGAACACTTAGTGTAGGCACTAAAGAAAAAGGCACTCTTGAATCAGGCAATAAACTTTTAAAGATAACCAGAACATCAGCTGTTTGATAACCCTTTCACTCCCAGCAGTGACCAAAACATACTTTATCCTTGGCTTACAATATCATTAAAATATTATTACAATATCAAGCAGACAAGTGATGAGAATTAAGACAAATACCAATTAGGGGATTTTCATTTGGTCAAATACTAAATTCTCAGAACTAGAACATAAGCAATTTATGGCTAGCAGTAAGATGAATTACTTAAGAGATCTTGGGAGTGAAACGGTAAATGGCACATTGGAGTTTTGCATGAGCAGCTTGTCTACTGTGTTGTACCTTATTTTGAATGAAATAACTTTTTGTATTGCAGTTCAATCACATGATCAATTTATGCATAGTGATTTGCATTGTGTTTAACTTTCTATCTTTTCTCTCTTAAGGTTGTGTTTGCAACACCTGGTATGCTTCATGCTGGATTGTCATTACAGATCTTCAAGAAGTGGGCAGCAGATGAGAAGAACATGGTATTTGGTTGTTGTAAATCATTTTTTATTTCTCTTTTCTGCAGAGTATTACTCTGATACATTAAGTACAGTGCATGAAGTTGTTACTGAGTCATGTTATTCCTGTGTGATGTGATGTAGGTTGTAATTCCTGGTTACTGTGTTGCTGGAACTGTTGGTCACAAGGTGCTGTCAGGACAGAAGAAAATTGAATTAGACAAGAAAAGTGTTGTAAGTGATCATACTCACATACACACGAAATTCATATTGAGTGACTCTAAAATGTTGATTAAATGACTCTGATAACAAAAAAACTGCACTTATTATGTACTTCTGGACTACTTTATGTTATGATCATAGATTTTGTTTACTTTTTAGTTGGGGTGTGTTGGTTATATTGAGTGAAGGGCTAATACTTGAAGAATCAGCTTAAAAAAAAACCATTGCTAAATGGCAAAACACAGTTGATGTTATCTTGTTTTACCCCCCACCAATGCAGAACCAAAGTTTCTTTAGAGATTTGCCCCCTTAATTCATTTATTGATTACAGTTTGTTTGTCATGCAGTTTTTAACTTCCAACAATTAAATTCAGGTGTGCCTCAAGGAGGTGACTAACCTTGAATATGAGTGCATCAAATAATATAGTTTTTCCCCTAAAGCTTTTTAATGGTACTTAATGTGAATATGTTATATTTTTGGTAGATTGATGTGAAGCTTTCAGTTCAGTACATGTCCTTCAGTGCACATGCTGATGCCAAAGGAATCATGCAACTCATTCGCCAGGTTTGTCTTGTCAATTTAGTTAGACAAGTTCCCTTACCTGTTGGCTGCAGTCAGTCTGTACATGAAGTGATTTTATTTTTCCTTGATCTTTTTCATTGTTTGTCAGCCAAGTGCGTCATACTTGTTTTATTTATCTTATGTAGATATAATAGACAAAAGAAAGTGGCATCCCAATTAAACTTTTGTATAATTTTTTGCCTTTAGAGACACTGCTTGAAAAGGGAAAAACGTTTGTGCCAAGTTTTCTCACATTATAACTATTTTTTTGCGCAGGCTGAACCTAAGAATGTTGTTTTGGTTCATGGAGAAGCAGGCAAAATGGATTTTCTAAAGCAGCAAATCGAGAAAGAATTTGGTAAGTTAAAAAAAGCACTTCAGCAGAAATGGACTATTAAGTTTAAAGTGATGATGAAATGAGTATTGTGTTGATGAATCAAAGACTACAGTGTGAAACATCAGAGCTGATTTCAATTTGCACTGTGTGCATTTAGAATTCAGCTGTTTGGCTTTCAAAATGTAATACAATGTAAGTTTTTTTTTTCAAATTTAGCACCACATCTGCTTATCATTCCAAGGGCTTAAGCATAGTTAGATTGCATGCTCATTCCCTCACTCGTGTGGGTTTTTGGCCATGCCATGTTGGCCTCAATCGAAATGTGCCAGTCATATTCTTAGGCCAGAGGGAGAGAAGTAAGAAGAACCTCTGTTAGGAATCAAGCTTTCTCAATTATAAATGAGATTTTTTACCTCATTTGATAGGAATTGGATGCTTCAAACCAGCAAATGGGGAAACAGTGTGTATGGAGACCATTCCCACTATTGCAGTTGATATGTCACTAGCTCTGCTCAAGAGAAAAGTTATGTCACTAGAGAAGAAAGGTAAGTGACTGATCGAAGTGATTGGTCACTTAAACAAAGGAGGGAGTGGGTAGGAATGACAGTAGGCAGTGGTCTGGGTTCAAGTGTAAGCACTGACTTTCTTTCTCATTTAATAAAGTTTGTCTGTGAAAGTGTCTAGTTCTTTCTTTGTGAGTCTGTGTGTTTGGGTGCGTGCGTGCGTGCGTGTTCATGTGCGCGTGAAAATTCAAAAGCAGTAGCAAGTTAACTCGCCATTTTATTCGTATTTTATTCGGGTAGTGTGATGCGCTGAAGACAGAATTGAGAAAATTAAAATCCTAAACAATTAATTGCATACAAAGACAATTCCACTTTTGGTTCCAAACGTTCAGTTTTATTGATAGTGGTAAGCTGGCGCTGCAGTGCTCTAGATCCTAATCACAACGAGAGAAAGTTGGCTTCTGGGTTAACCGTTTGACCCGGCCTTTCTGGAACGATCGTGATGTAAGTTGTCGTGGAAATAGCGGTAGATTTTCAGGGTGAATAATGCTGAGAATTGGGCGATTCATCAATCATGATTTAGTTCTGATTTAACGATAAATTTTTGACATTAAGTGAAATTTATGATGATTAGCCTGGAGCCATTACCATTTTTCATGAGTAGAGAACATTCATGAATGATGTTTAGCAGTTTCACTTGCCGAAAATATATTTGTGCTTTTATCTCTTCGGTTATGTCAATGAAATCTAGAGTAAGTATACTAGATATAGTCGCTTTCCATTTCATAAGGTCCTCTTCACATTATACACCGCTTTTTTTTTTTTTTCCAGATGCCAAACGAGCCAAACTCACTCCACACAATAATCATTTACCCGTCCAAGGAGTGTTAGTTATGAAAGACACGGTAGGTTGTTCTGTTGTTTTCCTCATTGTGCTGTGCAGCAGTTTTTAGTCGAGGACGCCGTTTATGACGGTCAGCAATCGTTAAAGCAATGGTGTTACACTTCAGGTCGAGAACTCCGTAACCGTGCACAGCCTTTTACTTTTTCTTCTTCTTCAAACTTAGGAACAGAATAAATTAATGAGATGTTTTCCCTTGACCAGCAAGCTCGACATGATTGGTATGCCGTTCAACGTTGTGCATGTTCAGATACAAGACATTTAGCAAAATGTGCAGTAAAGAAATCGGTCGAACTTCATAACCTATGCAATTCATAACCTACATGCTGTATCAGTGGTTTTATTTTTAGTCTTGGTGATCAGTTTTAACTGCCTCTCTTTTCTGTCTTTGTAGTCTGTAAGATTAGTGGAACCAGCTCAAGCCATGAAGGAACTGGGACTGACTGAACACAAGCTTCGTTTTACATCATCAGTCACTTTAGAGACTACAATACCATACCACATGTTTATAGAAAAGTTGCAGTCTCAGCTAAAGAGGTAGGTTGTGTTGGACATATTCTGCCCTCCATTAGAGGATATGTTAAACATTCTTTAGCCTACTTGAGTGGTACTTCTCTCGCATTATTTTAGTTACTCCGGACTCTTTCGGAAGTGTGTGTTTTATCAATGGAAGTCGTAACGATTGCAATGAAGAAAAAACAGTTCGAAGGGTAACTTTGCGTGCTTCCCACGATAGCTCGTCGATTGCTTTCACAATGTCACGAAATAACTGTTTCCCGGATCATTCAACCAATCACAGTACAGAAAACGGTCTGTGATTTAAACAATGTTACATTTTACCAATCATTGCTTAGAAATCAGGCAAGTAAAAGTGACAAAGAATAGAGATAGCATTCACAACTCGTTTCCTGTCGCCGTATCGGTCAGTTTTGTGTATAATAAGTGTACTCCGGTACCTTGAATCGTACTGTAATTGACTTAGTATTTTTTTTTAATTCGTGGATGTTTGGATAATTGAAGACTTCTTCCAAATTACTCGGTCCAGCGAGTGGCGGAAGGTTGTTTATCAGTGGACGACTCTGTTCTTATCAAGGTTAGTGTTGGCTATTGGAAATTGTTTTTGTATTTGTCTGTAGTTCTGTCTTTTTTTTTTTTTGTAACTGCTTTGTGCCGATCCTCAATTTGATTTGTCAGACATATTGTACACGGGATAGAGAACTGCTCAGAAGTGGAAATGACAATAGCAAGGACACTGACTATAGAAATGGCAATGGCGATGTAGAGGCGCACTGAAATGATCGGCTTGACCTCGTTGGTGACAACTAAAGGCTTTATTTTGTAGTGTCCCTTTAAGGAACGAAACTAAAAAACCTTTGCCGGATTCAAGCTATCACCAGCACTATTATTATGATACTGTCTATTTTTCTTTCCTTTTGTATTTTGTGCTCCATCAATCTCGCCAATGAAGTAATTTAGTTCCTTCACTTGATATAAGTCGTGTTACATTACAGATATCAGGAAGTAGTGATGACGTAACTCATGAGGCTTCTAACTGTACGGCTTTGGTTTCATGGACATTACAGGTGACGATTACGTTTGTATCAACTGTTTACTTTCGTGTCTTGAATGACTTGAATGTAATACAGATGTAATGACTTTATATTTTTCATTTCCAGGAAGAGGAGTTAGGAAGTCACGTGCTGTCGTTGCTACGTGACAGAATAACCAGACCTTTGCTCCCGTTTGGTGAGTCTGGTGAGTGAACAGGACACTGCACCCGACGATATCCTCGGCACGACCCACATATATGACGTTACGACGCAACATCAATGATGCTAATGCTGCTCTGTACAACGTGGCTGCCTTACCAACACGAGAGTCGTTGATGTTCCCATTGTACAAGCGAACGACGTAAGAAAGTCGAAGTACAGGATAATTTAGTATTATCAACTGAGTTAATAACGTAAATAGGCCACTGTAACGAGTTTAAAAGCTGACGCATCGAGCGTTAGCCCTTTGTCAGAGCGATCTATCGCTCTGACAGTTGATAATACTAAATTACCCTGTTATACTCTCCCACCGACGCAGCCCCGCAGTTTCTTTAGAAACTTACCCCCTCTATCCAAGGTCGAAGTACGTTTGGGCTTCTGCTTACAACTTGTAAATATGGCAATTAACTGTAAATAGTCCTTATTTTAAAATAATCACCACCTGAATAGTGACTGCAACTTCCAGTTTAATGGTATCACTGCGAAATTGAAATTATAGATCATCGCATCCGCGCCCAAATAAAAGGAAGGGCATTATTTCTTGTTTCCTGCTGCCGCTTGTTAAATAGTGGTTGAAACAAGGTTGATAAATCAGATAAGTGTAATTAATAAGGAGACTACGAGCTCAAGATTTCAATCAGGAAGCTCTCCCTTGTGCTTCTACAGATATTTTTAGCAAACATTTTTTGGTACTTCTATGATAGGTACATACTAAAAACGTACAAAATTCCAAATGAAGCATATAAGACGGCAATTTTTTGTGGTAGAGTGAAATGTTTCCCTTCAAAACACGCTACACTTAAATTAAAGGCGAAAGGTAGAGTAAGCAAAGTTAACCCGAAATACAGCGAGGTAGTTGCAGCTTGTAAACCTACTATTACATATGGGAACAACATAAATAAAGTGTGAAAATAACATGCGCGCTGTGGTCCAACAAGTACTGCCAGTGTCCTGTAGCCAGCTCTGATGTCTGTCTTAAGATCACGTGTGTTTTGACTAGGGGGGAAAAAACACGTCAAACGTCACATTGTATTAATAGGAACAATTTATGACCCTTAAGTCGTCTATTCTCAATATCTGACCCAGAGGAACAAGGACTCTGGGAACATGAATCAATAGTATTACGAAAGCTCAAACTATATGGCCGTACGCATGCGTGTAGAACCTGTGTCATCGGTGTCCACGGAAAGGTTTCGCAAATGGTCGATTTGTCCGTAAAAGTGCTGGTTGTTCTGCTGCCTTTCTTTTACTTTTCTCTTTTTTGAGACCTTTCAGTTGTGCGAAAAAAAACCCAGCATTTCGACGTTGGTAATTGGTGCTCTATATGCTGGTCCTATATATATATTCTATATTCTTATATAGATCTATATCTTATATATTGTGGGAATAAAAAGACAAATAAACTACTAGTTCATCCCTACAGACCTGTTTCGTGGTTGCCCACTCATCAGGGGATTTAATGAGAATAGATCTTTACCATAGTAGCGATGGTAAAGATCTATTCTCATTAAGTCCCCTGATGGGTGGGCAACCACGAAACAGGTCTGTAAGGATGAACTGGTAGTTTATTTGTCTTTTTCTTCCCACAATATATACATCGCTCTACTCCTATGCATTGAGCACTGTCTTACGTAAAGTCAAAATTACTCTTTATATCTATATCTTATATATATCCTATATATATAATCTGTATTCTTAAAAATATTGTGTATTGGATTTTTCCTTTATCCAGATCAACCACGAACTTTGAGATTAACAGCCCTTGACTTAAGAAGCGGGAATTTAATTTCGATTCATTATTCTGCCTGATAATGGCTTGATTGAAGCCACTGTTACGATAAACGCAAACTTCCGCGGGTATAATGAGGTGCGTAGTGCGAAGTGCGTAGTGCAGCCAAGCGTAACAGGTGTAAGGATTAGATTCATTACACGAAGTTAGCTTTTTCTCATAATTGCGATGTCTGAGTAACTCAGTCACGAAAGAATATCACTAGCCTAAGAACCAATAGTAGAAACGAGAATATGTCCTTAGCCCTGTAACCTCGGTCACACTTGACTAGCTTTCGTCGACTTGACGATCTCGTGGGAGGCAACCCGAGTGGTAAGGGTTAAATTATTCAAGAGACAAGTAAACATGTCTCGCGCTTGAGGTGTCACGAATGAGTTAAAAAAGTAAGAGGCAACTTCCTACCTGTGAAATATAGCTTCTGTGAATAGCATAAAAGGCAAAGAGTAAGTTACCATCCAAGTATACGACAATTGCCGGTGAACGGTTCCAACCTGTTGAATGTAACTGAACACAAGAGACAGAGGACCGAATATCCCACAGGCTAACACGTCGCCGACTACAATGTTCTTCAATCCTCCACCATGTAACATTGAAGTGAGAAAACCAGTAGCGTACAGGCCAAATTCCAGCCTGAATTCTGCTTCAGAGACCACAGCTAGACAGCAAAACGCTGCTGAAGCAAGAACATAACTCCATACCGCCCATTTTGCGCTGATTTCGAGCGTGACTCGTCTTGTGGTAGACGAAATGAAAAACCTTCGGTCTTCGGCCTCGTAATACGAGTTTGCAAAGTTCCCTGCCGCGTGAGTGAGGAGGATAACAAGAGCTGTGAGGAAACATTTCACAACATCAAACTTGCCGTCATGTTTCCAGGCGAGAACTGTCCCCAGAAGAAATGACAAAATCGACGCTGGGAAGGTCCATGGCTCCAATGATTTAATAAATATGTTGCGTTTGTTTGAGTTAAAAGACATAGTCAGCTGTTATTTTCATAGCTTCAATGTCATGTGATAAAACGTCAGAAAATTCGGTGAAAATGGCAAAGGTCGAAAGGAACAATTTTTTTTCGGTGACTATAATGAAATTTGGACGCAGTTTAGAGTGAAGTTCTCTCTAGACTATGGATTTGATGCGAAATGTGGGTGGAAAATGTAATCAATATGCAAGACAATGATAATCTTGCAAATTCCTATGCTAATGTCCAGTGGATAAAAATAACATCAATTTACATCGCTGTTTACAAGGTTAAGGGTTATTTTTATATGGAAATTAATTAGTCTCATTCAAGACACGAGGATGATGTTCGAGGAAAAGAAGAAAATCGAATCAGTTTTGATCCACCTTGCCTTTGGTCCAGTTTATCACATATTTAACAAAGCTAAAAAAAAATTTCTTTAGTGTGACTCGGTGGTTAAAAGAGCAGTTACACTGGCATCAATTCCCAGTGGAAAATGCTGCATGAAACAAGTTAATGGTTCACAACGTTTGAAGAGAAAAGAAAAATGTAGAAGAATAGAGAAAGCTGTAGCAAACAATGAATCATGCATCAGGAATGCCGCATGATTTGCTTATGACGTGTTCACAAGACTCACCATCTTTGTGTCCACAGCAACCGAAAAGGAACCGTCTTCTATTTTGGTCCACAAATATTTTCTTGAGAGGTCTTAAGAGATTGAACGGTCTCCGGTCTTTTTAATTTAACCCTTACAGGTTCTGATAGGCTCTGAATGGCGTCGCTAGGGTGTGTTTTTTAACAATGTACAAAGTACCCCAAGTACTTGGTGGAAGCAAATGAATCGTAGCTATTTTATTAGCTTTAGTAGCAAATTTCCCTTAATTTCAGTTATTTATTAATTCATTCCTCCGTGGATCTTTATTTCTGGCCATTTATACCATTTCATTGTGCCGCCATTCGGTATTTCTAAGATTTGAGACTACAATCAGCGTTGACTTAGTTGACACATCATGTTTGCCGAGTCTTATTTACGTGTAGAAGGTCACTCCTGTTTCTACCACCGTCCTAATCACCCTCCTCTATTCAATGTTTCCAGTATGTAACTAAAAGTTCATGGAATCACGATACAACATTGTTTTCTTTTCCTTTTTTTT